GCCTGGTTCAAATCCTGGCTCTGCCACTTTGAGCTGGAGAAACATACTTATCCAAGCCTCAGTTCCTTCATCTGTGCAATGGGTATAACAAGACCCACCTCACAGGGCTACTGTGGCCGGTAGGGTGAAGTGTACAAGTGTAGTCACAGGGAGGCCCAGTGTTACATCCCTCTCTGCTACTAGGCACTTTGTTTCTTCCTTGTGTTAAATATTTACTTCTGTCAAGGATATCAGACTTCCTGAGGTTCATTTGATAGTTGTCAAGTAAAGCACAAGTTCTAGCTCTGAGTGGATGTGAAGCAATTCTTGATGACTGGTGGGAATTCATTGGTACAGAGAGAGCAAGGAAGAGTGTCTGTTGCCCTGAGACAGTTGGGATATGAAGTGGGGGGTGGACTTTGAAGTCTGAAGAACTGTGTTCTTGTCCTGGATCTGCCACATTGCATTAGATGACCTTGGGCAAGTCAATTAACCCTTTGGAGCTTCAACTTCTCAAACTCACGGGTGTGGTAATAGTTCGTATCTCACAGAATTGGTGTGACAAGTTAGTGAGACAGTGCATGCAAAGCATCCATAGATGTCTGTCAGAGAGGTGGGAGAATGTTAGCTGTCTTTGTTGAGCCTAGGAATGTCTCAGAGAAGCTGCTATGAGAGAGAATGTTCCCTGTTCTCCAAAGAAACCCTGTTCCTCTCCCCAGCAGTGCTTCTCTGAAAATGGGAGGTGAATTTTACTTTAGGGGTCTCTCAAGTTCCGAGCATTAGTCTGGACTGGCCTAAAAATCAAAACGCCCAGCACAGAGCCTGGCATATAGTAGGTGCTCAAATCAGCAGTAGTTCTGGCGTCGCCATTACTTTAACATTTTATGATTACTGCAGGGTTCCTAATTCCCAAAGGCCCCTTGATGCACAGGAGGCCTGGCAAGTGGGGCTGGCAGGACCAAGTTACCTGCCTCTCACCCCCCACCTTCACCCCCAACCCAGAATGCCTGTGTGGTGTTGCTGGCAGGCTGGTGTCCTGGTTCTTTCACTCTGGCTACTGTGAACTGAGCCAGGGTTTGATATGTAGAAATTCATTTAGTCCTCAAAGGCCACTGATAACATTTTACAGAGGAGAGATATCTGGCTTTTTTTTTTTTTTTTAAGGGGTTAACCCCAGATCATACAGCCAGTAAGAGGCACATCTGGGCTTCAGAATAGCACATCTGGCTTCAGAGCCCATGTGCTTAACCATAACCCTTTTTTAGACTCTTGGCGCCAATGATAAGAACCGGTCTCCTGTGATTTAAGGCATTTAAGACAGACAGGAAAATGTGCGTATATGATATACGGAACTGTGATGGTGAAGAGATACAGCTGGGCATCCAGGGCACTCGGACCCTGGAACACAGATGCTGCGGAGACTGTCTCTGGTCAGTCTCTCTGTGCATGTTGGTTAGGCTCTCAGACCAGCCCCCTCCACAAAGCTCCTGGGCTCGGGCTAGTTTTAATTTTCTCAGCATCACCTCCTACAGGACGAACTGAACCTCACCATTTCAGGTCTGAGTCCATAATCCCAGTGAAGGACTCTGATTGGCTTAGCGTGGCGTGGGTGCAGAGCTCTGGACCAATCAACGAGATCCAGTAAGGAGGGCTTCTCTGATTGGCCCAGCTTGTAGTAGTCCCTGAGGAGGGCGGGGTCAGGTAGCAAGATGGAAGTATTGCGTACCCTATCCCCTCCTCCTGTCCGTGGAACAGCGTGGTTGGGGTGGATTGATGGGTTTCCAGAAGGTGAGAAGATTTGTACTGGCCTGAAAAACACATTGTCCCCCATAGACAGGCATAGCCTATTGGAAGCAAGAACGAAGTTCTGAATGTGTGATTGAGGTTGGGGGAGAAAATACCAGAAGAAGGTTTATGTAGGAGAGGGAAGAGGGTCAAATGAAGGCAGTGCGGCTAGGAGGCTGAGGGTGGACTGGGATGAGCTGGAAAATAAAGACCTCTGTAGTGGTCCCGTGTGTCTAAAAAACAGAAGAAAATGGACATAGAAACGGAGAAGTCAAGCAGTTGGGTCAGCCTCCCATTTGGCTGGATGATAAGATGCCTTAATAGATGAGGAGACTGAGGCTCAGAAACATGAAGCAGTTGGTCTTAGATCACAGAATCTTCTCGCTTCCCTGCCCGGTACCGTTTTGTGACACTCCTGGGAAAGCAGAACGTCCTGATAATTAAGAAAAGTCACTTGGGTGCCCTGGGGGAGCCTCCCTCTTAATGAGCTGGCGCCCTAATCCAGAGGAAGAGGGCCCATGGGGTTCCAGGGCTGGGGGGCAGAGCCTTTGCCTTCTCCCGACCCCACCTCAGTGTCAGCAGGCCCCACACCCTCCCTAGGCTTCGCTTCCCCGTGGGTATCCTGAGGACCCTGGCTGGTGTTGGTCCACAGGGCCACAGCTGGCCTTTTAGATGAGACGGTTTTTGCCTTAGGAGGTGCAGTGTCTCTGGCTTTCTCCCGCTAAATGGCAGGAGCACTCCTCTTCATTGTGAGGACCAGACTGCCCCCATTCCTTTTCCTTTTTTTTTTTTTTTTTAAGATTTTATTTATTTATTTGAGAGAGCGAGCGCGCACGAGAGAGTACGCGCATGAGCAGCGGGCAGGGATAGAGGCAGAGGGAGAAGCAGATTCCCCCCTGAGCAGGGAGCCTGATGCAGGACTCGATCTCAGGACCCTGATGCCAGGACCTGAGCCCAAAGCAGACGCTTAACTGACTGAGCCACCCAGGTGCTCCCTGCCATTCGCTTTCAAACACATCCTGGAACACAGGCACCACCCCTGGTTGAGGACCATCTAGAAGGTTCTCAGACCTAGAATTCCAGGGTTTCCCTGCCCACACTGGCCTACAGACTCACTGGCCTGGGGTAGAGGGTCCGGGATGGAAGGGGGTGGGGTACAGAACTCTTACTGGACAGTAGTTTGCCTTTAACTGGCCTGGCATTATCTGGGAAAAGGCTCCTCTTGTCTTGGATTCTTTGGGGGGTCTACAGTTAAGAGGACAGATGAGAGATTTTGTTACTTATCTGCATCCATTTTAAGTTCACAGCCCTGTGTATGTGTATAATATATAGTTCTTATATTGTGTACATAATTTTTTATTATAAAAGTAATACATGGTATTTACACATGTGTAGGAAGATATGTACAATGATATTTATTGCAACAGTATTTGCAACAGTAAGAAAAGAGACATGATCCAATTTACTCCAGTAGAGGATTAATTAAGTTATGGTACTATCATACAATGGAATCTAATTCAGCTTTTGAAAATTAAATTGTAGAAAATGTGTAATCTCTTACAAAATGTATATATACATGTGAAGGGACAAAACACAAGCTGCAAAATGGCAGGTTTAACCTGATCTCATTTTTAAAGAGTATTTTTATTTATACATACACTTTTTATTTATATAAATCTGGAGCTATATGCAGCAGACTCATAAATGTTTATCTCTGCCAGGATTATGGAGACTTTCTCATCTGTAAATATTTGAATTTTTGATGAGCAGCATTGCCTTGGTAATAAGAAGAACATATATATAAGTAAATATATAGATATAGTCGTACAGACAGTTTGGAATAAGACCCACAAAGAAGGAAACAAAAGTCACTCCCAAAGTTACTAGAATGCACCCCGTAGGCTCCCTGTCAGTGTGTTTTCTGTGCACAGAAAGGTAGGACCGGATGGTGGTAAAGAGACAGACTTGGCATCATGTCTGTCCTTAGAGCTGGGTGATGGTCCACAAGTTCCTTAATGTCTCTAAACCTCAGTCTTCTTATCTGTTGCAGGGGAATGATAGGGCACCTGAGTGGCTCAGTCAGTTAAGCCTCTGCCTTCGGCTCAGGTCATGTTCCTGGGGTTTTGGGTTCAAGCCCCACATCGAGGTCCCTGCTCGGCAGGGAGCCTGCTTCTCCCTCTCCTTCTGCCTGCCGCTCCCCCTGCTTGTGCTCTCTCGCTCGCACTCTCTGTTTCTTTCTCTCTCTCTGTGTCAAATAAATAAAATCTCAAAAGGGGTGGGATAATAATTTTCCCTGCCCAAAGGGTCATGGCTATAAACGATATGCATAGGGATATACATACAGATGATATGCAAAATGATATGCAGAGGAGGGTCTAAGGGATGCGCAGATGTCTGCACAGTGCCATATATGCCTGCTCACTTCTCAGTAACTAGCAGTGTTTGTTAGAACTGTTGGTTGGGTGTGTGCAGCGTTTCAGGGTTTTGTCACTAAGCTGCGGCCAGTGTGCCCTTCATCCAGCGTGTGCAGCTCACCCCCTGGCAAGTGCGAAATGCTCTCACCACATCCTGGCTCCCACCTGGTTTTAACTCAAAAAGCAAGAACAAAAACCCACAAACCTAAAAAATTTTTGACCACATGCATTTCAGCTTTTTAAACCAGAAAGGTAGTACGTACTCTTTATTAAAAACATTTTAAAGAATAAAAGTGTCTGAAGTTAAAAACTGTTAAGACCCCCTTGGTGTGCTCACCAAAATCCCGCTTCTGGGGAGGTGGTGACTATGAAGTTTGACGTGTAACCTCGCAGAGCCTGTTCTGTGTGTGGGGGTGTGTATGGACACACAGTATGCGTATATCATTCTTTTAAAATACAGCTGGAATCACACTCTACCTTCTATTATATGCGTTGATCAGTCAGCAACATGTTCAGGGCAACATGTTAGGGACAACATGCCAATTCGTACACACGCATGCAATCTCGTTCGTTTTAAGGGCTGCCTGGTGGTTCACGGCTGGACTGTGCCATAATTTAACCATTCGCCAGACAAGCTCTAGCAACAACTTGGCAGCTTCCGATTTTTTTACTCTTTCGAACAATGCTTTTGTAAGCTTCCATGTATCTTCTCATCTGGTTTGGAGGATCTATTTCTAGAAAGGGAATTGCTGTCAAACATATTTCTTAAAAGCCAGTGTTTTTTTTTTTTTTACTTTTATAAACTGTTTATTTTCCATCGACCTTTTCCATTTCTATTTCCATTTTTGTTTGCCTTTGTGGAAGACCAGCTTAAGACCATTCAGTGACCTGAACAGTGGGAGCTGCAGACCAGTCTTCAGTGGCCGGCTGGGTGCTCCAGTCTTCAGTAGGGAACTGCTGAATAGGCAGCGAGGGCACCTGCACACCTTCAGACCAGTCTGCGACTTCAGGCTGAGTAGCAGTGAACTCAGGAGCTGGAGCTATCCATTCACCCTGAAATTCCACCTTGGTCACAGCCTTTTCAGCAGCGGCCTGCTCTTCAAGTGTTCTTTTTTTCTAGACTTAAAGGTAGTCTAGCAAGGTCTGGCCATTCATGTATTCGGTGGTTCATTTGGAAACAGTATTTCGTTATCAGTATTTCGTGTGCCGGATGCGGTGCTGGGGGAGCAGCTATGGACTCTTTCCTTATGGACGTGATAATTTATGACAGTCCCCACCTACCTGCTGCCCTTGTTTCTGATTCTTGTTGTAAAATGGGAGGAGAGAGGAGATTTTTATTAGAAGAGACTGCCTGCGGGAAACCCCTTTGAATTGGCTGAGGCCCAAACTACATTCCCAGAGCCTGAGGTCCCTGGGCTGCAGGGAGGGGCTGCCTGGGTGGGCCCTGTCTTGTGGGGCGGAAGGGAGAAAGAAGTAGCAGCTATCCCAAAAGCTGGTGGGCTCTTGCCTAAGGAAGGGCCTTGGGGACCAACTGTGTGTCCTTGTGAAAGTTGGTGGTTTCTGCGTTTGCTCTTTCTTCTCAGGCGGGGCTTGGAGACCCTGGTCGGGGAGTGGCAGCTCCTGGCTCCCTCCTGAGAGCCTGAAGCTGGCTTTGAGAGAGGCAGTCACTGTTGTTCCCAGAAGATTTCCTGGGATGACGTGCCAGCCATTAATGGTGTTTGCAGGGGAGGTGGGCCCCAGGCGGTCCTGTAGGGAGGAGGTGAGCCAGGCTCCACATTCTTCCCCAGGAGCCCAGAGGGGTGGTGACTTGTCCTCGCCTCCCAGGTAGTCAGCTGCAGAGCCAGGTTCTCATCTGGGTTTCCTGGTTTTGTACCTCCCCCTGCAGCAGCTGTTGGTCCCTCCCTGGGCCAGATGGTCCCCCCAGACCTGTCATCCGCTCACAGAACAACTGCTATCTAGTTAGCCGGCACTGGGCTCAGAGACCAGTTTTCCTGACCACTTGCAGGAGCCTCAGCAATGCCCCAGCCTAAAATTCTCCCGGCTCACGTGCCCCATGGACAGAGCATTTACCGGGAGCAGGGCCTGGAGCCAAGTGCTTTATGTGTCATTTCATCCTCATGGCAACCCTGCAAAGTAGTTCTAATGGTGTCGCCACCCCTGTATCACAGACAGGGGCACTGAGAGTCAGAGGTTTGCTAATTGTCCTGACCCCTGCCTGTCTCCCACCTTATCAGCTTCTACCTCCGCTCCCTCCAGTCATGGTGCCCTGCCCCTCCAGGCCCTTCAGCCAGTTTGTTATCCCTGTCTGGAAATATCTTCCCCCAGATCTTGACCTCCTGTCTAAAATAGCCGCCCATCGGCCCTGTTCCCACCATGAATCACGTGGGGGGTGTTGAGGGCCTGTTTTCATTGCTAGAATAACAAGCCACACGAGGATGGAGATTTTTGTTCAGCTCTGTGCCTAGAACAGTGCCTGGTACATAATAGATGTTCAGTTAATATGTGTCGAATGAATGAATAGCTTGGCGGCACTCAGCTGTGCTTCCTCCAAGCGCTCCCTCCCTCCCTGCGCTCTCTCACCTCCCTAACTGTAGACTCTCCTATCTCCCTGCTCCTATCTTTCCACCCTTTACACAGGACTAGATACTTACTGGTGTTTGTCTGATTGCTATCTGCTTCCACCACTAAACTTTGAGTTGCCCAAGGGCAAGGACTTAGTTCTCTTCTGACTAATGTCTGGCTCCGGATGGCACCCCGATGAATAGGTGAATGAACCAGTGAAATAGAAGAGCCAAGACTGGAACTGGTTCTCTAGTATCCAGGCCCCTGCTCTTAACATTGTGCTCCTTCCTGGTTTCAAACTGTGGCTGATTCAAGCTTTCCAGGACAGCAGTTGTTATTCAACTGTGGTTCGGGCCAGCTCGTTTCTAGAGCTAGACAAAAGCTTCCGGGGGTGGGGGTGGGGGGGCTGGTAGTTACGCAGCTTTGCAACTTCTCTTTGGATTAAGCATCACAGTTTGCTCAAGGTGTTGCTTTGCTCTGAATTTATTTTTATTTATTTATTTATTTTGTAAAGATTTTATTTATTTATTTTAGAGAGAGAGCACACGAGCAGAGGGAGGGGAGAGGGAGAGGGAGAATCCCAAGCAGACTCTGCACTGAGCCTGGAGCCTGACTCGGGGGCTCAATCTCACGACCCTGCGATTATGATCTGAGGTAAAACCAAGAGTCGGATGCTTTACCCACTGAGCCACCCAGGTGCCCTGCTCCTGAATTTGTTTTATTTTATTTTATTTTTTATTTATTTTATTTTTATTTTTAATTTTTTTAAAAGATTTTATTTATTTCTTTGACAGAGAGAGACACAGCGAGAGAGGGAACACAAGCAGGGGGAGTGGGAGAGGGAGAAGCAGGCTTCCCCCTGAGCAGGGAGCCCGATGCAGGGGCTCGATCCCAGGACCCAGAGATCATGACCTGAGCCAAAGGCAGACACTTAACCATCTGAGCCACTCAGGCGCCCCCTGAATTTATTTTTTAATCAAGATGAAACTTAGCTGTTTTTCTGCCACATAAAAGTTTATGTTGACTTCCTAGATGGAATGTTGTTTAAAAACATAACAGTAAATATGCTTATTTCTATTTAAAAAAATTAAAAAAAAAGAAACTTTACCCTTGAAGACAGGAGAATTGGAGATTTCTCTTCGTGGCATTGCATTCTTCTTGTAGTAGTAGGCATGTGAAGGAAGATTGGTAGTTTTGGGTGTGTGTTTAAAGATACATTTTATTTATTTATTTATGTGAGTCCTGAAAGTCATACCTGTTCATCATGGCAAATTTAAAGAATTGAGAGAAGTATAAGAAACCTTGTCTAGTCTCATGATCCATACACAACCAGTTTAGCAAGTTGGTGTATTTCCTCCAAGTCAATTCGTGTAGATATTCGCCCTTTTTTGGGGGGAGGAGAGCACCATACAATATATTCAACTGTGTATCCTCCCCTTTCCTACTTAACCTTAAAAGTATTTAAATACAATATCTTAATATTGTGTTAAATATTGCAACATTTAAATACGTGTTAAATATTAATATATAAACTCTTAAAAAAATACACATACTCTTTAAAAAATATTAATATATATTAAATACATACTAAATGTTTTAATATTGATATTTTTGTTTTGTTCTGTTTTGCCTTGGGTGGGGGCAAAGGGGAGAGAGAGAGACTCTTAAGCAGACTCCACACCCAGCGCGGGGCTTGATCTCACGACCCTTAGATCATGACCTGAGCCACAAATCAGGAGTTGGACTTAACCCTGAGCCACCCACGTGCCCCTAATATTGATGTGTATTAATATGTATAATTCAGTGTTAAAATATTGAATAAAAATACTTCAAAACTAATTTTAATGCCTATAAAATACTCTGTCATATGCCCATGTATCACACTTTTCTTCATCTGTTCAGTTGTTTAGCGTTTACCTTCTCTTTCTTACATCTCAGTGTCTTGGTTTATCTTACTGCGTGTGTGTTTGTGTGTGTGCTTGACACGCCATCTTAGATCCTTTTGGGAAAAGACAGAATATATTATATATTGTGTATAAGAAGTTTTAAAAACACCCCCTCAGCTTTTGTGCAGAGGCAGTATCATAGCCAGTGACGTTTAGCCAAGGCACAATTATTGCTGATTAAAATCACTCCCTGAAAGCCAAACAATTAGGGTTCTTTTTAATTTGTCACTATTATAATAGCACTTTGATGAACATCATTCTGCATACTATTTTTATGTTTACGATTACTTCATTAGGGTAAATATCTAGATTTGGAATTACTGGATCAGAAGAGTATGGATATTTTAAAGGTTCTTTAGATTTATTGCCCAACTGCTTCCCTGAAAGGCTCTTCAATTTATACTTTCATTAGCAGGAAAGAAAGTGCATGTCTCTATATATCTTTACAACAGTAGATCTATTTTTAATGATCAGAAATTTGCTAGGTAAGAAATGGCATCTGTTAGTTGATTTGGAACGTCTGTCTCTGAGTTCACACCCCAGGGCTGTGGGTGGAGGAATGTCCATCGAATACTCTATCTGATTTTTGTCTTGCAGCTGACTTTGGTGTGTCTGCCAAGAATCTGAAAACTCTGCAAAAGCGAGATTCCTTCATAGGAACGCCTTACTGGTGAGATGTGCAGTTTCTGGAAAGGGAATGGTGGACTAAAGGTTGAACCTCAGACTCCCCAAGGTGACCTCTGGCTGCTGTAGAGGAGAGAGGAGTGGGGCCAGGGCTCCTGAGTCAGCCAGCCTCAGTGGGTCTGAGCCCAGGCCATACCACTCACGACTGCTGTGACCTTGGCCAAGTTGCTTAGCTCCCTTGTGCCTCAGTTTCCTCCTCTACGAAATCAGGGTTCACGGGTTGCTGTGAGGATTAAACGGGAAGATGCATATAGAAAGTGCTCCATTAAGAACATCTAAACGGGAACCCCTAGAAAATAGTTCAAATTTTTTTTTTTTTTTTAATTGACAGACACAGCGAGAGAGGGAACACAAGCAGGGGGAGCGGGAGAGGGAGAAGCAGGCTTCTCGCCAAGCAGGGAGCCCGATGCGGGGCTCGATCCCAGGACCCTGGGATCATGACCTGAACTGAAGGCAGACGCTTAATGATTGAGCCACCCAGGCGCCCCGAAAATTGTTCAATCCTTGATTAATTCAACAAGTACAGATTGAATGGGAGGCCCTGGGCTGGACTGTGAAGAAGAACAATTCCTACCCTCCTGTGGAGTTTCTCTGGACCTCTCTAGTTCATTGTGTCTCCTCCTTTTCCAAAACTATTACTTAAAAAAAAACAAACCACGAAAACACTTTCAGTTTCACATCTAATTACTTTCTGTGTTTCACGTGCATTACTTCTCACTTGGGAGTTAGACTCCTTTCTTGCTTGATTACTCACCCTTTCTTTCTCTCTCTCTGCCCTTTTATTCCTCTTTTTCCTGTTCTCTCCCATCCCTTCTGTCTGTACTGTTGTATTCTCTCCGCCCCCCCCCCTTTTCCCCCCCCTTGATTTTTGGC